AAAAAATTCAAAAAATATTTTTGTCAAAAAAATTTGAATCCAAAATTTTCAAAAAAGCTCAAAATTTCTAACTCAGTCGCTAATTATCCGATTGATCTGAAATTCACAGGACATATACAGAATGTCCATACAAATAAATTTATACAATCAAAATTTTTATATCACTTCCGGTTTTTGCGTGATCACTTCCGGTTTTTTTAAATCACCCCTGGCACCCCCACTTCCGGTGTAAATTTCAGATGTTGGCAAAAATCATATATATTGTCTGTCAGTCATAATTAGATGCACTTAGCAGAAAAAATCCAAACCGGAAGTGATGCATAAGCCGTCGCCTCGGACTGACCCATTTTAGCGAAAAATTAATTAGTCCTCCATTTTTTATCCTTTATGATTTTGGTGTCTATTAAAACCCTGTATCCTTGTCTACAGTTTGATGGAACACAATTTTGAATTTCGAATTTGGATTTTTTTTTTATTCGTTTGAATTCTTTGAAAATTCAAAAGGCCACACCATGTGACCTTGACCTTCGATGACCTTGAACATTTCACTGTAGGATGTTCTTGACCTCAGCTATCCACAGATGTACTCATATTGGTTGAAAAATATTAACTTCCGGTTTAATAGCCATTCAAAAATTAACATTTTTGACAACTTTGGACAGCTGTATGACCTTTTCTAATAAACACAGAAAATTATTTTTTTCAATTTTGTAATTCCCTTTTGATTATCTTTTCAATGATATATGACAATAATCCATTAAAATATGTTTTTAAAATATTGGGTTTTTTTCGACTGAGGGTTCTAACTTACAATGTAATTAACTCCTAGCAATATGGTTTGTATATTCGAGATCTACTCAATTTTCTCTTTTCAACGATATTTGACATGGGTGGTTTAATACAAAATTGAATTTATGAAAATAGGCATAAAAGTGTTAAATGTTTATAAAAAATGTGATAAAAATCTGAAGATTGTGGGGATTAAAATGATTGACAGGTGTTATAACAGGTTATATAATATGATAGGAAAGCTATCCATATGAACTTTTGACATGCAGGTGTGAAGTAGTTTGGGTCATAAACAGATTAATCTGATTATGTAATCTTTTAACACTTAAAAAAATAACTTTTTTTAATTTTCACTTACAATAATTTAACATACACTCATATAGAGTAGTGAATTTTTGATACATGAACCTGTCGAATTTTTTCTGTACCATTA